TATATATATATATATATATATATATATATAATACATATTGATTGAGAGGAAACGTGAGATGAGAGTTCTAGTAAATGCTAATTTAAATATTAGCACGTGCTAAAAGTTTAGAGATGCTAATGTTTTATAATCTTTTCCTTCTCTTTTGAGATCCTTGAAAATCAATTCGGTCAATCATGAATATATTACGAGATAAGTACATATATCTTTAATGTTTAAATGTTGAATATATTTAAAAGAAAATCATATATATAGATGCCGGCTTAATCAGGTTTCCTCGTTTGCATTACCGACTAAGTTGCAGATTGAACCTTTCTCACTAATAATTTATTCGATGACTCAATGAAGAAAATCTTGTTTAATTAATCAATTACGTATTTTTTAGGAACCAAGTAACATAATAAATACAGCATAATAAAAAGGAAAAGAAAAGAAAAGTTGTAAATTTCAGAATTTTAGTACTCCTGACGAAAACTTGAACATAAAAAATAAAAACATGTACTAGCTACTTAAGGACACTTATAGGTGTCACAATTGTTAATTTCAAGTTACTGATGGAAGAGGCAATATATTTTATAAACGCGCATATACGGCATACATATAGCGACGTGTATCTATAATCTATACTCACATAATTAATTAGTGACTACATCATCGAAAGTTATTTGAAGGGTGGGGTCATTCTTACAATCTTTTTACAATCCCGCACACTAAACACAATCTAAATCTAAACGCGATCATCAAATGTTTGAGGGGTACTAAAGGAAATTACTCATGTTGCTATTTACAATATCAACTCTTATACGTAAAAGAGTTATTTTATTTAAAATAATATAACGGAGTAAAGAAGCATATGAAGAAATTGTGCATAACCTTACATTAGCGTATGACGAATTCGTAGATAAGGTATTTGAAAAAAATTATTCAGTAGTATATATTAATCAACTTCTATCAAATCTGGACAAACTTTGTAGACGGCACAATCCGAATTTTAGAGCCATTTTTAATTTGTGCTATGAACTTCAAAAATTCCCACTTATATCCCTTAAATTTTGAGTTACTCACATATTTTAACCCTCTTTATTAGAGTTTATGTTAAAATTAGACAGAAAAAAAGGGAGTTTAGTGTCTGGACTCTTTTTATTTGTTATATATATATATATTTAAGGAAAAGTTACGCTGTTATTAAATAATTGATGCCATATCGGGACTTACAAACACATTAGAAAAGAATGCACATGACAACGCTAATAACTCAACAAGTAAATACAGGCATGCCTGAGGCCCGAAATGGGAGAACACCTCGGCACACTACCAACGAGCACAGTCAAGCTTCTAGTAGAAGAAACCCTTCCCGTTGAGATAAACTTTTGCGCTCTGGAAGGTATGTTTAC